TTTTCTATTATTGCTGGGAGCATATTTCGTGATCGATCGACCTGCTCAAGCACTTTTTCTCATTCAAGGTTGATAAGGAGGGCTTTGTCATGCTTTCGGCGGGCAAGAAACTCCACCTTCTAGGAGTGGTGAATAAGTTAAAGGATTGAAAGAAGAAATTTCAGGTCGGTTCTTATTCTAGCGACAGGAGGATCCAAACCAAGCCATCTGAGCGAGTGGTGGAAAGGTCAAAGTATCTTCCATCTAGTATGGATGTTAATAAGGCGATGGTCACCGGTCATCATCTCTCGGTCCCGCAGTACACCGCTAAGGCGATGATTGCCCGCGTGCTGAGGGGCAAGATGACCGAGGAACAATGGTGCCTCTTTGATATTGATGAGGCAATCAGGGCCAAGGCGGCAAAGGAGAAGTTGGCCTCCAAGCTCCGTAAGCGGCAACATCTCCCGGGGCCAATTAATTCTGTAGAATATGAGGATTTGTTTCCTTATAATGTGACATCAAACTACCTTACCTCCATGTCTGAACCCATCGCTGTTATTCAAGATATGGTGACCAACAATGTTATCGTCATTCCTTAAAAATATGGTTCTCATTTTGTTGATGCAGGGGAAGGTGATGTGAGAACATATGTTTTTGAAAGGGTTCTCGATGAACCCACGACCACAACCTCCTCTTCCTCGAAAAATTGCATGTTGTCGGCTATCGTTGTTCTGTCAGATTTGCAGGTTAGGGATCCTTCGTTTGTTGCCTTGTTTGAAAGAACCGAAGCTAGCCGAGTCGCTCATGTTCGGAAGAGTTGACTTCATCTTCCAGCAATGAGGCCTTGCCTTCGCCCTAGGGAAAAAGGTCTATTGGCGGGGTAAGGACCTGGTGAAGGAAATAGACATCCCGCAGCCCCCTCCTTTGAAGAGGAGAAAGGAGGCATTCGAGTGAGAGCCCATGCACAAGAGCGCCAGGAGGACGTGGCTTGGCTTGGACAAGCGGTTCGGTCAACTAGATTGGTTTTTAGACTGGTACCCGCAGACGGATAAGAATAGGAGCATGCCCTCGACTTTGTTGAACTTGTTGTGATGTGAGGATCTTGACCATACCCTAGGACGTTTTCTTTGTCATTAATTCCTCCATAATATGGATATGTGCCAGTTGCTGGTGGCGCAAAATGCTCATTTTCTTGGACTGGCCATGATCAAGTTGGAAGAAGTGCTGGATGAGGCTGGGAAAAAGGATGGTTCGTTGGAGAAGGATCACAAGAGAGTTCACGCTGATCGGGACCTTTTAAAGCTCAAGCTTGACAATTCCAAGAAGCTAATCAGGAATCCATTGGCACTATAGCAGTCTTAAAGAAGGAGATTATTGAGCTGAAGGAGAAGATCACCTTGTCAGTTTACAAGGAAGAGTATGAGGAAGGCTTGGCAGGTCAATTAGGCTTGGGGTGAACTACGCCATCCAATGATTCATCCGCCACAGTCCGATCGACCAAAATTTTTGAACCCGGAAGAGTTCTCGGACCTAATTCCGAACAAGGCGAAAGAAGCTTCCAAAGGGAATGATGGGTCGGGAAGTGAAGAAAGATCGACCCCCCGCTAGGTCTTGCTATATGAAGAGTTTTTTTTAAAGAATCAAAAGACATTTGTAAACTCTACTGGGATATATGAGAAAGATTTGTTAGTTTTTGACTTATTTGAATTGGTTGTGATTCAATTAATAGAGTGCTCATCTTGTGAGTCGACCTGCCGCATGAGCCAGCACACCGAGATATTTCGTGAATCTCGTTCGGTTGGGTTGTCATCTCTGAAAAGACTCGCATCTGAGGCGACCTTTATGACCTATCGTAGATCCTATCACTGGCATGTGTCTTGGTTACCTTCAGAGATAAACTCCAAACTTTGGATATCACACCCTCGTCATTCGTCCTTTAAGTTTTTGAGGATTCGTTCAATTTAAGTCAACGATTGGGGGCCGAATCACACTCCCAACCATTTCCCCAAGCTATTAGTTAAAATGTACCGCAGATTGGTTCGCACTAGGCCCAAGTTATCGAGCACCCACCTTGTTCGATCAATTGGGCGTGTGCCTCTACTAGGTTTGTGCCATTTGCTAAGTGTGGATCTTGTCGTCACTCGCCAGATCTACCCTTGGGGACTTGTTCTTGGGATGACTTGTTCCACACTCCTTCGCGGACCTTGCCGCTAGTGAGCGGATAACCATTACCAGAGATCTAACCTTCTCGACTTTGGAGGCTCGAGATTGCAATGCAAAGGGAGAGCAAGTTGCCAATCGGCCCACCCTAACTGGCCACTAGGATCACACATTCACCATGTACTTGTGTACACATTATACATATATTATTTTTTATTTTTTATTTTACTTTATTATTTTTGTTTGGTGTATCTATGTCATGCAAATTCCAAAGTTGATAGTCGACTGTCTTCTGTGATGCCCTCGATCAAGTCGAGTTCCCCGAGTGTCAAGAAATGACGACCGACTGTTTTGGTGTTGCTGCCTCATCACGTGACATTGGTGGTTTGGTACTAAAGGAAACATTAATTGTGGTGTGGATTCCTTTTATCTTTTTTTTTTGGAACTTGGCCGCCGAGCCTTCTTGCTAGTGTCAAGCTGGCAGGTGTCGAGCTGACTTGTCACGGTGGGCCCATTTGTTGGCTTTTTGTTGAGTGACTGTCGTTGGGGCCGCTTACTCCCCCTATAAAGAGGGGAAAATCGCACCTACGCGATTTGTGTTCTCACTCAAAGGAAAGTTATTTGATAAAGCGATGGAAATCTGGTCGGTTCTGCGAGAGTTTGAAGACAGAGGTGACCTTCCGTCGACAGGAGTGAAAGGCTTTGCTTGGGCACTATTTTAGTTTTCTATTTCTTCGAGTCATTTATCGAAGGAAGGGGCTTTCTTCAAGTCGGGTGTCGAACGTGACTTCGTGACTCCGATCGGGGCCAACACTCATTGGAAGTCTTCTCCGCGAACGGGTGTATTGGTTCCTGAGCTAAGGAGGTGTTGAGCACGTTCCTAAGCAATGTAATACATTCGTTCGGTCATGGCTACCATATGGGCCCATAAGTCTTCTGACAGAAAGTACCTGTTTCCCCACCATCTCTTGTTCCTCTTGAAGCGAGGAAGAAATCTGAGACGAGGAGAGAAATAGTTGCTTGCGGCGAGGGCTCGCCGGTTGGGCGAATCCATATTCTTCCACTCACCTACGCTTTCTTTCTTGAGTCTGAGAAAGACCTGGAAAGCGTGGGTGAAATGGGGGTCAAGAGCAGAGGGCATTCCAGTTGAGATAAGGCGAGATTCTTATCCTCTCTCGCCTTGGGTGCAAAGTCGGAGTTCTTGGCAAGGCCTCGTCGGCTGAGTTTCAACACAGGGATTCGACCCTGCTATTAGAAAGTTCAGATGCAAATGTACCTTTTATGTTTTATCATTATCTAGGTGTATTGAACTTTTCGACCGAGATAAATAAATTTTAAGATTTGGTTACATCGTATTTGCTTGATGTCGAGTGGTTGGCCTTTTTATACTCAGATCAGTTTGTCGTTTTTATTTCTCGCTTACTTGACTCAATCTCATCGGTCGTCAAAAAATGATCGGTCAATGCATTTTTTAGTTAGAAAATCGACCTCCGTCACCTAATCATTCCAACCGAGCCCTGAGTGTCGGAGAGACCTGAGCATCATTCGAGCAGAATTAGTTAAAACTATAGTTTTTATCGCTTTAATTGAATTTTATACATCAGTAGCAACACTCCCATTTGCATATAAGTAAAGAAATTATTTAAGGTGGGGCTGTTGTGGAAGTAGAACAGTAGCCGGGAGAATGGACATAAATAAATATTTCGACAAGATTAAGCTACAACTAGAGTACCACCTGAACCCGTAGAGAAGATTACCACCTCGGATAAGGGACAACATGAGTACTACCTTGACGTTGGACATAACCCTAAGAGAGAAGATAATGAGACAACCAAATTCAAATTACATAAAACAGGTTCCTAACTCAAAGCACATCCTCTCATATTTATAAAGAGACATGACCTATGTTAGGAAATATTGAAAATAAGAAGAATAAAAATTAAAATTTAGATTTTAGGAAGTCTTTTAAAATAGGAAAGAAGAATAAAATTCAGATTTCATATTTTAGGAAATGATTTAGATTAAAAAAAGAGAATAAAATCGGAATTTAGGCTTTTAGGAAAAGATTTAAATTAGGAAAAGGCATAGGAATGAAAAAGGGATGAGGAAGAAAGAAAAGAAAGAGAAATAAGACAAAAGAGAAGGAAAAAAAAGGGGGGCGAAGGAGGGGATGGGGACCCCCCTCCAAGAGGATCGACCTGTCTAGCTAGGTTGGACCTACGCCCAACCAATCCCCCATGGGCCTTGCATCATTTATTAAACATAATTTTCATATAAGATATTTTCTTTGTTTTCTTTCTTTCCCCTTTTTTTTCAGGAGGGAGGGGTGAGATTTTCTAAACATAGTTCTCATATAGAATGCTCTTTCTTTCAGGGTGGGGTCCCTTACTTATGAACCACATAATTCTTATATATTTACATATCCAACACCTAAACTCTCATATTTTCATGCATGCCACTCAAGTCTTTTCAATAAAAACACCAAATATTACTGACTTTTATACAGCATGGATAAATTTTAACACCCAAGTAATAGAAAAGTAAATATCAAATTTAAGCGTTAGACACGTGAGAACAAGAATTGTGTGATCTGTATGTAATTTCCATCTTTTGTCAAAGAAAAAGAAATCAAACAGATCAAAAACTATATCAAATGATTTGCAAGTCATACTCAATGTGGCAGTACTTCAAACAAAAACCAAAGTTCTACATAATTAAGCCAGGCTTTCCAAACAAACAATTTTTTTCTCAAAGCGTACTTGGTACAAAGAATAAAATTTGGCATCACATAACGATGTTAGAACAAAATTTGGCATCCAAAAATCTTAATTTGGGGAGAAGATGTTAGAATAAAATTAAACTTGTGTACAACTTTAAATATCTCAGGTGCAGCAAAATCACCTAGCAACTAGTTAGGCAAAATTATACACAAAAAAGAAATGAAATAAAGGAGAGAGTGAGGAAGGACAAAAGAATGTAACTACTGGTTAAAATCCCCACTTAATACTCTATCCGCGATGCAGCGCAAGGGAGGAGATGGAGATCAAAGCAAGCTGTTAACAATTTTGGAAACTGCAGAGAAAGTGCCAAACCCCGACGAAACAAGTCCGACGGCGACGATTAGGATACACATCACTACCTACATGTAAATAACTATCACATGATGGGCAAATTAGGAAAATTAAATATAGGCATTAATAATCTTACATTGCATATCATTTCTTCAACTTTGAAATCACTCTTGATGTTTTCCACTACATTTTTCAACCATTTTATCACCCACCACTACCCTTAGCCATGTAACAACTATTTAGGATCAGTTTTATGAAATCTCATTTTTACTTTATTCAAACTACATATTGTGTGGGGAATTTAACGTGCTTGTTGCAACTCATTTAAAACCTATTACACAACCCCTTCATGTATTTTTCACTAGTAAAAATGTTGGCGGGAGCGGGAGGGAAGGGTGTGGGTTTTGGGTGGGGTAGAGAGAGAGATGAAGTGATTGCAAATGTTTAATTATTATATATGTGCCACTTGAGAAGATTTTTTTTTTTTTTGTTAACAATGTTTATTTCCTAATTGTATAATCAGTCATAAGTATTCAAAACGAATATATCCATGAAAGGGTCGGTGTAGCTCCAGTGACAGACAAGATTAGATAGAGTCGGCTTAAATGGTTTGGTTACATTAAAAGTGGACCATCTGATGATCCAATTAAGAGTAGATGTTTTAGATTCAACTTATCTTAATAAAGGTAGAGGTAGACAAAAAAAGAATTGGGCTTGTTGTATAAAAAATAATCTTAATTTATTAGAACTAACTAAAGTACAAAAAGTTAATAAACAATATGTATGTATGTATGTATGAGATAAAAATATGAAATTCAAGAGTAAGTTTTAAGGATACCTGAGTTTGTGTTGCTTTGCCTCTGACGATGCTTAGAAAGCAGATGCATGGAAAAACAAATGACTGCCACAACATCAAATATTTATTAAACCATGTTTTGTATGCTATAGAGCAGCCAACGGATGGAAGAAACTTACTACTAGCATGGTGAGTAAAGATCCAATCAAAGCCATCACCAAACCTGAAATATAATAAAAGAAAAAAAGCAAGAAGACAATTTTAATTATAAAAATGAACTAGTATATCATCTTCGAAAAATAAGGTGATTTAGAGGCCAAACAACTAGGCTGTCAAAAAAGCCCATTGTTCGCGAACAATTCGAGTTCAACTTACTAAGTAGCTCTTGTTTGATTCATTCATTAAGCAAGCGACCGAACACAAACAGTTTATTAGATCTCAATTTATAAATGAGATGAACACAAACTTTTATTCGATCGAGTTCAACCCAATTTGGCTCAAATTAATTAACTAAATATTATTATAGTATTTTTTTATATTGATTTTTTAATGTTGTAATTAAGAATGTATTAAATTTATTATCGCTTAAATCATTCAAGCTAATTTCGAGCCGAACACGAGAAGAAATAAGCAAATGAATTTAAATCAAGCCGAGCACAAATACACCATCCACAATGTCTTTTGAACATGAGTCTATTTTGAACCCAAAAAAAAAAAATCAAAGAAGCCCAACTCTAACAAGTATTGAGCTTGCTCAAGCTCGACTCGTTTACATCTCTACAAATAACTTAGATCTTAATTACTGACTAGAATTATTTATTACTTGCTCATTATTACTAGAAAATCCAATTAACAATGGCGTGCAGTTGTCGGTAATTAAAGACCCAGAAATTACAGTGTCCAACAGAAGCATTTCAGTTTCCTAAATTAGCGTGAGGGTAGAGGCAGACGGAGAGGGGGTATGGAGTAATAATATACATACCAAAGAAAGGAATGGTAAGAGCCACAATCAAGGTTGACAGTGTCAAAACTGTTCTAATGCTGATGGAATAGAGGTGAGATTTCAGATTATCTTGCGGTATCAGCTCCTCTAAACTCAGTGCCATTGGAGTCAAAGACAAGGCATATTTAAGCAGTAGTTAAGGGATAACTTTATTATATAACCAGAAAGCAGATATAATATACTCCATTACTGAAAAAACTATAGATTTCCGCAGAGGCTCATCCTTCAAGTAATTAAAAATATATATATAATTGAATATAGGATATTTCGTCAGTGGGTTTACAACCTGCAAGGAAAACAAAGCCAAAGAATAAGTATCAGTGGATGATTCTATTTTCATAATATGAAAAAGATATTGGTTGCAGAGATATTTCAGCACTGTTGGACTCTTTAATAACATCAATTAGTAACCAGATAGAATTAAACAGTGAAATTTAAAGATCTGAATTTAACTTAAAAAACAAATTGTTAATTGTTAATTAAAGATATATTATGAGGTCTTTGATAGTAGTAATAAGCGTGCGTATCATGGTTCTATATTGTAGGATCAACCTGAGATTGGAATGAATTTTTTTACCTTAAACAATGCTAATGAACAAACGAATAAGATCAAATCAAGATTCCACTTGGATTTTAAGAGACACATCAAAAAGAACTATACAAATGATAAAAATCAAATGCTTTTTGATTCAAGAGGACTTGGGTTTTGTTATGCCAGTTCGTAGTCTAAAGACAATTTTGTAGGTTGTGCAACTAAAGATTAGTCTTTCGTCATTTATTATTATTTAGTATAAATAGGGCTAATATGTTTAGGGTTAGGGGTATGCATGAGATTATTATTAGGAGTCTTAAGTTTAGGGCTCAGGAGAGATTTCCTGTCATTTTAATTGTAGGAATTGGGAGAGATCACCTACATCTCAAATTATAGTATAAGTGTTGATCTTGTATTCATTTTGTTCTGGATTATTAACGAAAAGAATTTGTTTTGCCCTAATTTCTATGGAAAGAAAGTATTAATTTGTACCTCAAATCGTATCAAATGGTATCAGAGCATCGCTCCTTCAATTTCTAAAGACAAGACTCGATCACACTTTTGGTGGGAAGCTGGCGGGATCGCATCTCCTTCGCTTGGAAGCCACTCAAGATCGCGTCTTCGTTTGTCGAGACACTCGCGATATAGATCACGGCTAACCTGATATCACCATACAATCATAGTTGCAGCTAGCAGGGAAGCATCGCGAGATGGTGATCTCCGTGACCTAAGCCTTGCAATATGATCGCGGTTGGAGCTAGCGAGGCAGCATCGTGGGATGGTGATCTCCTTGACCGGAGCCTTGCGGCACGATCGTAATTGGAGCTAGCGGGAAAGCAACAAGCTAAGTGCTGGTGGGAAGAAGAAGGGATCGCGGCATACCTTCATCTCTGTCGCACAAGACCATGCAAACAGAATCGATCACGGCTAGAGAGGAAGGCTGCAACGGGATCAAAAATGTCCCAATCATGATTCAAGAAGTCAGCAACTGGATTGGGGATCGGGCGTGCCCTAGTGACCGAAGCTCTCGTAATCTGGGAAGCCATCGACAAAATTGTGGCACTCCTACTGAGATTCAAGCTAGCTGGAGAGCTTACAATGGGATTGTGAGGTACAAAGTTTTGTCTTTTGTGATCAAAAGTTTCTGGGGAATAATGACGATCAAGAAAATAGATAATTTGAAAAAGAAATGAGAGAAAAAGATGAATCAACTTACCTCCAGGATAGATGAAAGGTTTGCAACTATCGACGAAAAATTTTCATCCATGGAAAACCAATTTGAGTGCTTGGAGAAGAAGTGTTGAGGCTTATCGAGATGCAATCCAAGACCACGTCGACGGTTCATTTTGCAAACCCTAATCAAAGGTTGATCGGAGATTCATTAGCTAAATTGAAAGGGAGAGAAATAGGACGAGAGGAACGCGATGAGGAAAGTATCTACCATCAAGAATCTCCTCTCAGATCTCCAATGGGGGGTGGATTAGAGATTTCTGAGGGAGGTGGGGAGGTGGTTAGTCCAAAACATGGAGGAGTTATGCAAGAGGTATGAATGAGCACGAAATAGAAAAGAGAGAAGCAGGGATGGGGTATAGATATGATCGAAGAAGGGAGTTTTACCCTCAATACATCAAGGAAAACAGTGGCAGGAGAGGAAATTGAGGTGGAGATGCTCAGTTAGAAAGTTGAAGATGTCGATCTTTGAGAGGGGATGACGCACATGGGCAGGTGTACCGAGCAAAGCAATATTTTGCAGTGAATGACTAAATGGGGAGGAGAAGCTCATGGTGCAAAGTTATGTTTAGCAGAGAAAGCCCTGGCATGATTTTAGTGCAGGGATGACTGATACTTGATCTGCTCATGGGAAGAATTTAGGTGTTTCTTGTTGGAACTTTTTCCGAGCACTCGAAAAAGAAACCCACATGAACAATTCTTTGCATTGACTCAAGAAGGGTCTATCATGGAGTATAGCGAGAGATTTCAGCTACTGTCGGAATGACTGAGGGGGATTTCTAAAGTAGTATTAGAGGAGAATTTCATGAAGGTTTAAAACCTTACTTACGTGCAACACTCCAATTGCTGAGACCGCGGGGATTGGGAGAGATGATAGAGTCAGCCCATATGGTGAAGAGCAGGAACAACATGAAGGCCAGCAGAAGCAGCACCATGGGAGAATTACACAAGAGTATCTTGATGACCATGACACCGAGGACTCATATGATTTCATTTCAGGGGGAGAGCCGGAGGAGAAATGCGAACCCGTCCAGGGGTCAACTTCAAGTGTCTTACAAAGACAGAGATTCAAGAGAAGCGAGCAAATGGGTTATGTTTTACTTGTGATCAAAAACTTGCCCCACTACATCGTTGTGAGGATCGGATAATATAGGTTCTCACAGTTTATGACGAGGAAGCGGGGAAGCTTGATCCAATAACAATTTCCATATATCCACCTTGATAACAAGATACTATTTTTGGAGAGGGGTATTGCCACGTTGCTTCCAACTTTTTTCCATGAGAGCTTCTCTTCGGGGGGTATCGATCAAGCGCCCCTATCTTTATAGGAGTTATTCTCTTATGTGAATAAGTGATTGTTGGTCAGCTCCAACAGCTCGACCAACATTTTAGGTCATTGTAGGCCTAAGGCACAACAGATTGGTCCCTCCTTAAGTCCTTACCCTAGGGCAATGTGTTCAACCCTGGGTTCGAGATCTCGAAATTCCAACATTTCCATCTGAAAATGAGTTATGAAGGTGCATAAGAATTCACCCTGCCCTTGGCGCAGATGGAAGGTCTGAGAGTTTTTAGGCTATTGTGCTTTGGCGAACTGAGCTATAAAAAATTCTTCTAAAGTCCACAAAGAAGGTGATCACCCCTAATGGCGAAGCATTGAACCATCAAATAGCCAACTCCCTGAGTGTTGTGAAGAACATGCAACATTTGAGTGTGTCGCTAGTCTTTAGCAAGCATATCGTCGACTTAAATGAGACAATATGATCGTTAGGGTCTAACCGTCCCCGACAGAGTTTTAGTGTCGAAATCTTGAAGCACTCAAACGGTTCAACTTCAAAAATTTGTTGGGAAAAGGAGTTCTCAAGCTATGTGGTTTGCGCTACTTCATGCGTTCATGCATGTGATGTTCAAGCAGTGTGAAATCCATGCTATATAGATAGTGTGTGTTTTGTTCTGATTCAAGGAAAGGAGAGATCCTTAGAGTATTCAGGGTGGTTTTCCTTTGCTAGTGATGAGATGTCACTGGTTGTGGCATTCGTATTCATTCTGAGGTGAGTGCACTTTTGATTACCTCCATCATTTGCTCTTTGAGTTCGTTAATCTGTTGAGTAACAAACTCAAGGGCGCGGTTCATGTTGTCGCCAACTTCCCGAGGTGAGAGATCTCCTTGAGTCACCTCTCTTCTTGTCTGTGGCATGATTCCACGCTCACAGTATCTTTTAAGGTGTTGAACCCAGATTTTTCCATGAATTACATCTAAGATCGAGAGTGTAAATAAAGAGGGGGAGAGAGAGAGAGAGAGAGAAAGAGAGAGAGAGAAAGAGAAATGATGGGCCTAAGAGCCTTCGAAGTATCGGTAATAATTCATGTGGAACGAATCCCCCGTGATGCAAGAATTTCTCTACTTTCCTTACCCGCGATTATCATAGTAGAAGATTAGGGTAGGGTTTACACGTCGGTCCATTATAAGGTCAGTATATCTACCACCATTTGTGCATGTCGTAAAGCCAACTGATGAGTCACATGGGATCCTTGGTGTAGCGTATGAGCCGACTGATGATGCTACTACAGATCTTCTAACCAAGAAGATCATTGGAGCGGTTTTTTCTTTAAGAAGAAAATGTTCTATTTCTGGATAGAAATTTCTTCCTCGAATCTCTCGGAAGTCCAAGAAAGAGATGCAATAATTTATCAACTTTAATTACCATTGAGGTCATCATAGTAGGAGACCAAGGTTTACCTGTCGGTCTATTATGAGGTCGGGGTATCTACCATCTGTTGTGCAGGCTGTAGAGCCGCCCGCGGAATCACATGGGACCCTTGGTGTGGCGTCTAAGGCCACTGAACCAAATATTATACCTGATACTTTTTTTGACACTATTGTAGTGGCTTCGCCCACATGCAATAACCTCCTTTTTTAAGAATAAAAAGGAAAAATGTTTTGGCTTACTACTCTTCTTCATTAAGCAATAATAAATTGGATGTTTCCTATTTTGATAACGGGAGATCTAGGGAATACCCCAGTCGATACTCAACTTATTTGCTTAAAAATAAATATGTTATAAAAAAATTATTATCGTCCCATCTTGGTTAAGATGCAATGGGTTTAGGAAAATTCCTACCGCTACACTTTTGGGATATGAATTAAAAATGTTGATATTTAGCCACTCTTAATTGTTTAAGTTATATTTTGGATGACGTAAATGTTAGAATAGTATGTCTCTTTAGTCCTACCACAGTAATACCAAACTCTTGAGCCCGATTGTGATATATAATATGCAAAATTTTGCGCTTTTACTTTCTCTAATTAACCTAAAAAACATGAACTCCAATTTTTTTTTTAAAAAATGAAGCAAAAAGGAGAAAAAAAAATATATGACTTGGCTGAAAAAGTGATGATAATATGTTATTACCGTCGTCCAAACAGCAATCTTAGAAACTACGAATCCATGTGGCATACTAAGAGTAAACTGAGGTTGAGTTGATTCTCCAAATAAGAAAAATCCCATCACTGCAACCCCGGCGTACAATAATGTGCAAATGAAAAAGCTGCAAATCATTTATTTGAGTTTTAATCAAATAATTTCCAATGAAAACACAAAAAAATCAACTGAAATTGCAGAGATTATCAGAAAGAAAGCCGTTTGCCCTTAGGAAAGTATCCACTATTCATCATGTAAGGACTTAAAAGCACTCAGATCAAGAAACTTCAACGATGATGTAAATTTTGATAATAGCAAGCTTTATTAGAACTACTATACACCACTTGCCTTGTGAAAAGAACTGCTGGGAAGTCATTGGGCTTCTTCAGGGAGGAGTATATGTTTGGGAAAACGGCATGGCCTGAATATGAATAACCATACAGGCCAACAGCTAATGAAATGCCAGAAAGATTTAGGGAGGAACCCTCATTTTTGAAGCCAACCTGATCTACTAATCCCAACCAAAACAAGCAGACAGCCACCAACAAAGTTGCAATGACTCCTCCAGCTGCCAAAAAGCAAGGTCAAGGAATGCTCGCCACTTAGGCGAGTGGAAAAATATATTATAAACCACAAAGGTACAGCTTTCATATCTTATCAGAAATAACAAAAAATTACTTGGACCATTGCTATCTCCAAAAAATGTAAACGGAGACAAACTAAAAGCTTCTGCAAGCTTCCGAGATTAGAAAACTGAAATTTTCAATATAGATGATGTGTATAAAAAAGGCTAGAAAATTCAAATTTCAAAGATCAAATGATAAAGCTTTAAAATTTAACTGTAAAAATAAAAGGCAGTCGATTTCCACTAACCTGAAATATAACTTAGAACACTTAGATCTCTGAGCCATGTTGTTGGGAGAACAATCAGAGTTGTTAACAGAGCAAATACCAAATGAGAATTGAGATGCAATCCACTTATATCCAAATGCGCATTTGGAAACAATGATGACAAATTATCACTCTCCAATATAATGTGCTCAACACAGCAAGCCTGCAGAACTGTTTATGTTAGTTTTGTCACATTTGCTTGAACCACTTTTAACTAGCTGGAAATGTTAAAAAGGCACAGCAGTCCAACAAACTTAGCCAGTGATACCAAACTTTTACTTACATACAATTCCAGGTACAAGGTAATCTGCAAAAAATAAATGCAGAAAAAAGGAATTAGTATCTCAACAAATTTATGTGTAACAATTTCACAATGAAATGCCTTTATTATCACTCACCGATAAAATAATGCGACCAGGAGTTCCAAAAGCAGCCTGACCAATGTCAGGGTATGTCTCAAGGCCTGGTCTACTATCCAAGCAGTGACGCAAGAGCATTCCGGTGTAGAAGGCAAGCACAGCATATGTGAACAGTATGGACATCCCCATCCAGCCACCTTCCTTAACTGCATATGGTGCAGACAGGATTCCAACTCCACAGAGTACATTTACACCTGTTTAAATCATAAATCCCAAGTTAATTGGAGGCTTGCTTATTATAAACTGGTTTATTTTTATGAAGAGTGATCTCTTGAATGTCTTTAGAACCCGTTTTAATTTTTCTGATGCAAATCAAATCTAAACCCAACATTCTGCAGTTAATAGTTCAACCAATTGGAATTATGATATCAAATTAATTTGACGAGTATTAGTTATGATATGTGTTGCATTTTTCTTTATCTTTAAATAATGTTATCTCAGTTCTCTGTATGTCGTAGTATTAGAATTGTATTGATGTCTTATGCTTTTGTATCTAAAAAACACGCCTGTTGACTTCCCATTAAATCCTGCAGGAATAAATTACATTATATAACATCTTCATTTCTCCTAGCAATTTTTAAATCTTGCCTTCACATTTTGGTCCGGTTGATCAGAATGGATCACAATTAGAGCTGGAACTGAGCCAAATAGTATGTAAATTGAATGTGATATATTAATGCTTAAATTATTTTTAAGCTGGAAGTTTAATCAAGTAAGCTGTTGTTACTGCCATTTGACTCTAGTTTTAAGAAAAAGAATTAAAGCCTGAGATTGGCTTCACAAAAATCATTTACCAACAAAAAAGTTAAATTTATCTTCTAATCAAGGTTATGCTTGATTTCAAGCTCTTATTTGCAAAAGAACAATCAAATATAAAAAATGAAACGCATTTTTCTAAAATTGAAACCAAGGCTCCATTTGAAATCTCGTCTTGTATTGTGTTGTGTGATGTTGGACTGTGTTACCGAGTAAAGTTTATGTATCTTTACTGAAATCACTAATAAAATTTTAATCCAAAATTTCCCAAATTTGCTTAGGTTAGATTACAAAGTCAAAATGAGGACTTGAATTGGGTCCAGGAAGACATTAATTGTGAACCAATTTAGACCACCTACAACTTGGAACTCACTTATTCTTAAGTCACGCAAAGCCTCAAGTCACCCAGAGACATATTATGGTAAGTCACATAGAGCTAGGCCTGACTTGGTCCTTAGGACTGAGTTATTGGGCTCAGTTGAAAGACTCATCAAGTCACCTACCTGCTGACATACTTTGAGTACTTATTTAATGTCTCACAAAGATTATTTAATGTCTCACCAACATTATTGATTTGGAAAACATGCTGAAGGTACCGACCCACATAATACAACCCATCAATTCACTTAACGTCCCATTTGACTTCAAGCATAACTTGCCAACAATAAAACTATCTACAGTGGGTTTAACATACTCATTTTCAAATGTAATTGAATCATATCGCCAACTTTATAGTTTGCATTGTATTTCTTTTTAGCTTGCTGTATTTTCTTTCCAGCTTATGCTAACAAATGCTTATGATATTAATCCTATTAAGAACAGGTTGTAATCTCCGACATTTTGATTTCCTCTTTAGGTCCAAGTAACTGCTTTTCATCCCAAGTTTTAAGCATTTTGGGTTTCCTTACATACAATCTACTAATTCATGTTGCTCTTCTTAGATTTTATTTCACTTCCCTATTTTTTTCCCTATAAAAGTTAATTTACGAGTTTCCTTCTATTGACCTTGAGATAGTGCTATAATATCAAGAGATAAGGTATCACAAGAGAAAACTGCTAATTACCATATTCTCGGAAGCTGCCAAAGGAAATCACTAACTGCTATAATTCCGAGAGATGTTAAAGGCAATAACTATAGTGTCAAGAACTATACTCATTTAATTGGGTTGGGGTTTCCTTTTGATGATGTAAATAATTTTCGTGTGATAAAAACAAAAGTTTAGTCCTTGCATCTAATGATCGTATAATTGAAACTTATTTTGAAACTTATTTAGAGAAAAATTTTTATTTTAGGCCCTTCTTGGTCTAGATATACCCCTAAAGCAAGCAAAATTCACAGTAATTAGTGATATATATATATATATATATTTAATGATTTTGTGTCCTGCCGATTAAAATTCTGCAACACTTTATAGATCTAACTTTGAAGTGTCAGTCAGCTTATATACTGACATGAAACTTGAATATTCTATTTAGTGATTTCTATCCTTAATCTTGATATTTCCTTATTTAGAGAACAATGTTTAAATTTGTCAAGCATGATGTACACGTTGAATTTTTTTTGGTGTGAATCATGATCACTTTTTATTTTTATATTTACTTGATTTTCTTGTGAGATTTTAATTATGGGAAAAATTACATTATTAATTGAAATGAAAAAAAAAACACAAATGCTATTTTTTGTTTAACTGTGACTGAAATTTGATAAAGTTGAGAGTCCCCATATGTGAACTTATATGTGATTTCATCATGCTTTTCATCTTAGGATACAGTAATGAGCACCGGACACTTAAGTGTCCTATATCACTAAGTTCCTCGGATTAATCTCATCTAGGGGTGTAAGTGAGTCAAGCCGACCCATGAGCCAGCTCGAGCTTCGGCTTGATAAGTGGCTTGTGAACTGAGTTCAATGAGCAAACAAGTGAAGCTCATGCTAGCTCGAGCTTCGGCTTGATAAGTGACTCAAATAGCTAGCTCGTGAGCTGGCTTGTTTAAAAAATATTTATATAGAATATACTAAAAAAAAATTAATTTGAAGACTATTTTTAAATTATTAAAAATGTTATAAAAATTATATATTGTATTTATATTAAATAATTTTTAGTATCTCTCTCCTTATTGCTAATTCTATTTGTCATTTTATTATACTACTACCTTAAATTAATATTATTTGTTTCTTTTATAACAAACAAACTAGCTCAAATTAGTAGACGTAAGCTTGAGCTCGAGCTCGAGCTCGATAAAATTAATTAAGCTCAAGCTCTAAGTGTTTGGAGCTCGACTTGACTCGACTCGACTCATTTACACCCCCAATCTAATCTATTATTCATGAATTATTCCTCCCTTAGTTATGAGACTTTTTTTTTCTCTAGCACATAAATAGAGTTTATTTCCATATAAATATATGAAATGGTTGATGACTTTTTCAATAAGTGAATTTAATTCAACAGAGTGTTAGCAATGCTTATTTATATGAATGTACTTAATTTTTGGGAACTATATATCAAAATTTGTTTTCTTCGAGTTTCATTTTTTGCATAAGCCCATTAATTTTTGTATTCTTTAATTACTATTATCAATAAAAATAATATTTTAATTTGAAATATTTCTAATTTTATATTACATATTACAATATCATTATTTTATTCCCAAAAAAAAATGTGGGTGACTGATAAGTAAAACTTTATTATCAGACAAGCAGTTGAAGGTGGTTAGGGCTCAAATATGAAAGTGACTTTGAGCAGTTGTTTAATAGAAAGTGAATAAAAGATGGTTCTCATTTTTAAAACTCAACTTAATAAAAGTAAGAAATGAGTTTCAATGTTAAGAGCAAGGAAGTCACTAATAATTTTTGTTAGAATTTAATAATAGTTGAAAATATAAATTTAATGAAAATATAGATTAATCTCCCCTAAGAAACAGAGATATAATAGAATATGACCTTTTTTTAAAATAAAAAAATAATAAAATAATATTTAATTAATGTTAAAGATGGATAAAAATGGAATTCATCATAGCCCAATCAAATATAAGAACAAATTTCACAAGATTTAAGTTTGATTGAGTAACATAGATCATTGAATTGACTCCAATAAAACTCGTACCTAGAACTTAGCTTGAATCACTTTCAAACAATTAGATTGAAGCAATTAGTCAATGCCTCTTTGTTTTATTGTAAATGTTTGAATTTTAATTTCAAAAGTGTGCAGCATTGTATTGTAATGATGTTATATTGCAGAAAGTTCTTCTGAATATGAAAATTATGATTGTTTGGGTTATAATGACTTTCAATTTTTTTTATTTCTACATTATTAATATTATTATTATTATTATCATCAAAATAATAATTAATTCCATCATTCAATTAATTTATTTTTATTATATTATTATTAAAATGATAATTTTTGAAGGTGTTCCAAGCCCTCAAGCATGAAACTCGCTTTCATCATTTTGAACCTGAGTTTTAAATAAGAACTCACTTCTCTCCATTTCAATCAAACAAGCACTCCATTCAAGGGTTATTTGGCTACAACTAGGATGTAATAAATCCTATAAATCCTGATGTAATAAATCTTTATCTATTCTAATTATACTAACTAAATCACATTTAATCTAATTAAACAACTCAATTAATTATTAGTGAATAATTGGCTAAGCTAATTAAATAATAACTGCTATTTAGAAAAATTAAATGAGAAAAATAAGATTTACTTAAGGTGATACTTATTGAAAACTTTTTTATCAATTCCAGTTATCTTGTTTAAATTATAATAAGCAGAACTAAATAAGCCACCCAATGCTAGGATTTACTAAATATGGGACCTTTTATCTATTCTAATTGGAGTTAAATACACCCAACTCTAAATTTACTAAATCCGGGATTGAAAACAAAATGGCTGAGAAACAGAACTCAAGTTTCTGTAGGATATAATGTTGTCATTTTTACAGTTGGATAGGATTTAGGCTAAACCACGCTCAAGCCCAGCAACCAAACAACCTCTTAAAGTGTAGAAAACTATCAGTTAAACTCATTAATCACCTTTATTATGCTGAATTTAAAATATAGATGTTACTGGCAATAAATACTCACACACTCATTTTATGTCAAATAAACCCTAACTGATAATAAGAGGTTCGCTATCAAGAAGCGTGCACAAAGTAGGAGAAAGCAATACCGTTGATAACAGCCTGGCCGTAGGAGCTCTGGCCTGGGGGAACAGAAACCTTGTCGTGATCGTGATCGCGATCGCGCTCCTTCTTCACGGATGGTCGACGAGTAGGGATCGGAGGCGGCAGCAACGAGTGTGAGCTCTTCCGCCGCTGATGCTGAATATCCGGCGATGGTTTCCGCTCATCTTCTGAACGAGATGGGAGCAAAGGCTTGATCAGAGAGCTGAAGACATCTGAGGCGTGGCGACCTCTGAAGGAAGAGTTGAAGAAGGAGCTTCCGAGTCTGATGAGACTGGGAGTCCCTAGGAATGCAATTGAGGGGGATGCGACGTTGCTGTAGATGTCTATTGATTGCCTATCGCGATTAAAAAAAGAAAAACAAATAAATAAATTAGTCCTGAATTACTAACAATTTTGCAGATATATGAATCTAGATAATAAAAAAGTTGGGTTTGGGGACCCTGACAGAAAAATATGAAGCTGAGAAAATTTAAGGTCTTTTCGGGGGAAAAAATATTAACTCAGAAGCACTGATGCATCAGTACTCTAATGATAAGGTGACACGTATGCAATGATCCCACCGTGGCGCCACATGACACCCTACCATTGGAGTACTGCAGTACTCCTGAGGTAATATTTTTTTCCTTTTTAGGCCGGTTACAACTTGGGGGGGGGGGGGAAATCATCAGTACTCTAATGGTAAGGTGACACGTATGCAATGGTCCCATCGTGGTGCCACATGACACCCTATCATTGAAGGAGGTAATATTTTTTTCCTTTTTAGGCCGGTTACAACTTAATAATTTGTTGTACAGTAATTGTCATAGAAAGCTACTGTGCAGCTGCAGATAAATCGATTGTCTGTTTACTTTTTTAGGTACATCGTCGCGCCACTGATTCCAAACGACAAAAAAAAGTATTTTCAAAACGAGTTGCACGGATAACGCTGCCCTAAACAGACCCTTAATCGCAATTTACATAAGAATTTTAAATTATTATTTATTTAAACGATAATTTAATGTACTAATGAATTTGACTACCATTTAGAGATCATTTAAATATACTTTAATAATTTTTTTTAAAATATTGTCTTAAAATATCATTGAATTTAAAAATCAGCTTATCTTAAAAAAAATATAAGTGCATTTACATACATAACGCACAATTCTTATGCATTTACATCTCTTCTTACACGTAAACTTTTATATATA